TCCTGACCGATTGCAAAAAATACAGAATACCTTAATTATTTATGTCGGTAATTTCTTTCTGTTTTGAGCCTATCGTCCAGGACGATTGGCTAATGACGACTGCCTTAATTAAGAACACCTGATTAGATTTTCTGTTTTAAGCCCGATCGTCCAGGATGATGTAAATATCGTCCTGGCCGATTTGAGTAAAAACATAAATTCTAAGTCTCTCAAGTGTATGTGTGTAGGGTTACTTTGCATCAGTCACACCAAAGATTACAATTGATTCAAGAAGAGAAAATAAAATTATAGACTGACTCAACCCTAATCTACCCCATCTTGAGCTGATTCTGATTTCCATCCGATCTTTAAGTCATGAAAAGTTAGTAGAAAAAGGTAGTCCAAGACAAGTACGAGTGTTTGTCAATCATCAAAACATAGTTCATGGAACTGAATTTGCAACATTTTTAACTTCACATAGGTTTTACAAGGGATCTTTTGAGAGTGTGGAGTTTTTAATGTTTATAGTAGAAAAGTTGAAGATTCCCGGTACTGCTTCTCAGTACCAATTCCTGGTACTGCTTCTCAGTATTTCTTCCTGGTACTGCTTCTCGATACCCATTCTCGATACTGATTCCTGTTACTACTTCTCGGTATTTCTTCCCGATACTTCTTCTCGGTGCGTCTTCCGGGTATCGGGATTCTGTACCGATTCCCAGTATCACAGTTCCGCTCCCCCATATCAACAAAACTCAGCACCGCTTATCGTTACCAATTTTGGGTATTGATTCTCAGTATTACAATTTTATGTGTACTACCATGTTTATATCAAATTGTTAAAAATGTTTTTACATTTGCACATGGTGTTTATACATTTGAGAATGAAGCATATGCGATGTTTTAGGATTATGCTCATAATTTTGATTTTAGTATTCGAAAATAATATCATAGTTACTGGCCTAATTTAAGAAAAATAAAATCGAAGGACTTTATTTATTCAAAAGCTAGATTTAAGAAGGACATTGACTTAAATTCAAAATCAAAATATTGAAAATCCAATACCATAACCAATTATCCAGCTATGATTAAGTTTGTAGTGGGTGAAGATGGAGTTTGGAGGGTTCAAAAATCCATTGAGAGCTATAATCACAAATTAGCTAGGCCTAAAGATCAACATTTATTTAGATCATGTAGGAACATTAGTGATGGGAAAGCATCACTTCTTAAATCTATAACAGAAGTTGGGATAAGAACAGTTGATACATTTACATACTTACACGATAAAGTAGGTGTAGGAAATATAGAATTCTCTAAGAGGGATGCATATAACTTCATTAAAAAAAAAGATGAGCAAAAATTAAAAACAAAGTCACAAATTCCCTAATTGAACTATTTAAAGAACGACTAATTCATGACAACATGTTTGCATGGGACATACAAACTGATGAGAATGATAGATTGTTGAATTTTTTTGGTTGATTGATTGGGGAGGATAGATTATGACTATTTTGGAGATGTAATTATTTTTTATACTAGTTATAGGCTTAACAAATATAATTTAGCTTGACAAATGATCACAAGTATGCAAAAGAAGGCGACCCAATATCAGGAGGGAGGTTGTGGTATGATATTAAAAATCATCTAAGCATATTTGCATATCAAATTAGCACATGAGCACATGGGGGATGAGGATGCAAAACAATATATGTTTGCATTAATGATTGAATTGATTGAAAAATATATACTTCATCATAGATGGGAGAAGAACAACCATGAGTTTGGTGGCAACACAGCAGGTGGTGGGCATAAGAAATCAAAATATCATTGAAGTGCATGCCTAAAAGCATCTCTAACGCAAGATTGAAGAGTCTCTAAGAGAAGAGGAGAACTAAGAAAATGAAACCTACACAATAAGGCACTCATAGTACATAATAATGTACAACCAAAGAACCAGTCAATCATATGACATTCATAAACATACCAAAGAGCTTGACAGATGAGTATATTCTTCATTGACCAACAAGCCAGCCATCTGAAGACATTCATAACTGAATATACAAGAATGATGATAGAAGTTATAGATATATATAAACAAGAGTGATGTGTGACATTTACTTATTTGCATTTGATATTATATAATTCATTCTATATATATTGAAAATGTATGCATATATATTGAAAATGTATGCATCATATTATGAATGCTATGTTTCATCATAAATTTCCATGAATTACTACTCTCTCATTCAATAAGAACCTCTCAGTACCACTGGGTACTACATGTTACCACTCGATACTTGTTAGTAATGAATGGTACCGACCGCTACTGCTATATCGCAATCAATATCACTATGTACCTCTCGGTGCCACACGACACCACTTCGTACCGCTCAGTACTGCTCGATAGCACTCGATATCACTCGGTACAATTGAGTACCGCTCGACACCAATCAATATCGATTGATACCACTTGGTACAAGTGGATCCCAGTGATGTTCCTTCATAGCATTCCGCTATTCATGATGGCCATGTGACAAGTAAGCAATTTAAGGAGGTTTGGTGTAACATTTATATTATTCATTATTGGTAGTTGACAATGTTCTACTATTTAAAGTGTTTAATACTTTCTATCTAGCACAACTTTATGTTCTATAATAATTTTAATTATGCTCAACATGATGAAGTTGTAAAAGTTGGCCCAAATGCATTTGCACTTCCAAACCCGAAAGATATGTACTCTTCCATGAATCAAAAAAGCATTTAAGTTTCCTAAGATCTAAATGGTACTTTCTATTCCTCATTGTGTTTGTAAATTGAAGAGTGAATGACTTTTCGACTTGGAAGATCAAATGTCTTTACGATTCATGTTTGATAAATACCTTTCATCTTTGGGAAGCATTTTCCTATACTATAGCTCAATACCTTGTTAGATTTCTTAAATCTTTGTAAATTTTTGTTGTTAAACCATTGTAAAATTTATATTAAAAATCAATGTACGATCTCATTTTGTTTGTTTGTTATTCGACATGTTATTATAGTAAATTAAATAGTAGTATTTTTTTAGTGATTTATGATTATGGTATATAAACTACGTTGGCAAGAAACTAATATGCATTTTAGTATGCTGACAAAATTATTTGTCAACATTGCTACCAATATGATGCATGAACATATATCAAAATCTTGTTATTATCCACTTAAACAACTAGCAAGGGAAAATAAAGTAAACAAATGTTGTGCACACGAATGGAACGAACGTTGTGATTGTGTACTCTAATTTTATATGAAGAGGCTATAAATGTTAAACATAACAGAACATACAATTTCCTGAATGGTAATAGCTGAAAATGTGTGGAGAGTAAATTCTATGAGATATATCACCACAAGCCAATCCTCACTTTCTTTAGATGTGATATCATGATTTATGTCGTTCTATGAGGCTATAAAGTTATTAATGATATTTTACCCACATCAATTTTGTTAAGGGAGACCTGAACTTCTTTTTGGTTTGTGGTTTCCTCAACAGTCTAAGCATGTGACTGAGTTGTAATATCATCAACAATTATTGTCCTTGAAAAAAATTCCACAAGTACTATTTGATTAACTTTAACTGAAGTAAAAAAAAAATTTCCTACAATAAATTTTGTATTGCTTCATATTTACTATCATTCTCCTTAAGTTAGAAAACAAAATGATCCCCAATGCTGATACACACCTACTGTATGAGAATTTTGTTTGTGCACTTTAAATATGTTGACAATGTACAAAATATTATTTGTCATAAGGAGCTCATAAATAAATGAATAACATAGCATATAGAATGAATATCTATATATCATCAAGATCATCTAATAATACGATTACTTCTTTTTTTTTTTTTTTGGGACATTTAGGCCATTTAAGGCAAACTCACACACACAACGCATACACATAGACTCGAACCTTAAACCTCTTAGTTTGAAGCCTTAGCTATCAACCAATAGGCCAAAGAGAGTTGTGTGATTACTTCTTTTTTACTGTACATGATATAACTATCCCAACAACCAACATGAGTTTGAGACTCCTTATCAAATGATACATGTTTTCTTAAATGTTCTACTAACCAAATCTACAAGTACTAATAGATTTTAGGCAACTAAATAAATTTCTAGAATGCTAAAATAAATACAAATTCATAAATAATTATTAAGAGCATGTTTTAACATGTGACTTAAGAATTATATAATTAAAAATTTTTCAAAAGAATGATTGAAATCTCTTGAAAATTTTAAGGAGATTAAAAGTTGTCAATGCTAATTAATATTGAGGAAATAATGGGAGTCATTAACATCCCTTATAGAGAAAATTTTCACCATGAGTTGATTATATCAACTAACATGTAATTAAGAAATAACTAAAGAATATGAAGAATATTAATGTTTAATTAAGTAAATCAAATAAAATATAAAGTGATTTCCAAATACCCTTAAAACTTCATTAACTCCCACCACCATCAAATCCCTCCACCACCACCTGCTGCCTCCAACAGCTGCCGTTGCAAACAAAAACTAAACACCGGCCACCACCACGGCTAACCACCACTACTACCCATCATCGTCAATAGATAAGTCTATTTTTAAATTTTACACAACATTTATTTTTCTTCAAAAAAAAAAAAAAAAATAATCCTTTCAAATATTTTACATTCAACAAAACAACTCCATAATATTTAAAATCGCTATTTCTTTTACACTATTTTCATTTTTTAGCCAACTAAATAGCCACTTCCGAAATGCTAATTGCACATTTTCTTTACCACTACAATAAGTTAGCCATGCTTCTAGCTTCATAACGAATTCGAGTGATTTCTCTAGGCATTATTCACCCCTCTATCTGCAAGAGAAGAAAATAGAGAACATTCGTCCCAAGACAAGACGGATTCTCCGCGAAATCAAACGAAATCTAACCAAATAAATTCATTGAAACGATTTCGTCTCAACCATTTCCAATAAATAATCGAAAATCAGTAGCAGGAAGGAGGAGAGTGATCAGATAGTGCGAATACAATCGTAGCCTTCATATCGGCATTCAGACCAATAGGGAAAATAATACTGATCATCATTTCACTCTACATCAAGAAGCTCACCTGTAACCTAGAATACGATTAGCAAACTTTTAACGAAAAGAATGAAGAACGGGCATCAGATCTCCAAGGTGAAAGCATCAATGGAATTGAATCCTCAGACGCAAATTACCCATTATGAAAATGAGATTCCTCATTTGCCCAGCCTTTGATGAGGAAATCGAACAGACAATCTAAAAGAAAAACACTAATAAAGATCGAAAAATAAAAGAACAAATCAAATTTCAAAGAGCTCAGACAGAGAGAGAAAATTACCTTACGACGGCTCGGCTGTGACTGGCTTTATAGAGAGGTAGGAGTTCAGAGAGGAAGAAGAGAAATTTTGGGATTAGGGTTTGATGAGGAAGATTCTAGCCGTCCATTTTAGTATGGTCGATGGGATTTCGATGGAAGGTTCTGATGTCGAGATACCTTATGGGCTTTATTAGGAAGCCCATCTATGATGCAAATCAATGATGGAAGGAATTCAGTAAGAGCCCAATATGTTAAATAATGTATGAAATTTGAGATGGCTAAACAATTAGTAGAAATTTTAATGGATTTGAAATGGAAATTAGTTTTATTCAAATACAAGATGGCTTCCTTCATTTAAATAGAAATCAATTATATGTTCAACAACTTAGCTTACTCTATAAGAAAGTTAGATGTTTATAAAATGTGTAAAACTAAATATCTAGTTGAAAATATTTAGCTAACATTGGATTTCTTTGTTAATATGAGAAAAAGTTTCATGTAATATTATAATTGATATCTCAATCTTTTAAATTCTAGTAGTTCAATCATTAAGCCTAAGCAAGGAGGAAGATCATACAAATGTTTTAAGTAGCTGGAACACGTCTGTGCGATCTAATGGAAAGATCTTAAGATTATACAACTCTTTTATAGTCATGTACAAATTCTCAAGAGTATCATGAACAACTTATTTTTCAATAAAATTTTAATTTTGATTAAACTAAAGTTAATTTACCTGGTCATCTATTGACAATCAAAAGTCAACCACTTCCGTCTTCAACTTCAAATCCTTGTAGTTTATATAACTTTTAATGAGAGGATTTTTTCCAACAACTTCAATCGTGGAAATATTAGGAGATGGATGAGAGGATCCATCTCTTAATGGTTGGGCATGCATGTTAATTGGAGGAGATAAATAGTATATCTCGGCACATTATGAAGAAGTACTCATACCTTCAGATCCTTCATAAGAATATAAGAAAAATTTGGCATGTACATATTCTTCTATTATATGTTTTTTTTTTCTTAATTTTAATTATATCTATTTATTTCTTTTTTTTGTTTCGCTCTTGAGTGATTGACTGTGTTATATCTTTGTGATATAAATATAAAACAAGTTATTGGCTTACATTAAAATAGTTTTGTTAAGTGCTAGAAAAATTGAGCCTGTAAAGTATAAATTTTATTTTTTAGTGTCGCACAAAAATTTAACACGTACTGATAAAAAATAGTAAGAACATAAATATTTTCATGAAAAATTCCGAAAGGGGAAAAAATCACGAGGCATTGTCTAATTAAAAAATCTACTATATAATTGATGATGGAATAATCATCCATTTCTCATAGTCAAAGAAGATATAATTATTTGAGGACAAACACTTGATTTTTTTTGTGGAAATTATAGAAACAATTGCCCATAGATGGATAACATGAAACTGCATGGTTATATGTCTTATATAGTGATTACAAAAGTCTAATGTCTGTAGACATATACACTATAGAAAAATCATATATTACCGTCAGAGCTTCCGGCGGATATATATACGTATGAAATTACGGTGTTTTTACTGGTGTTTTATGCAACGGTAATATTACGACAAATTTACCGGCGTATCTTATACCACTAAATTTATAACGTATTTTCCGTCGTTATAGACATCGTAAACTATAAACACATAGTATAATGCGACATATTTTACGCCGGTAATTTTTGGCGTACGAACCGACAGATATTACGTCGGTTACTTTAAACACAATGAAATATTACCGTCGAAAAAGATGATAGAAACATCAACGACAGTTTATCCGTTTCGAAATCCTATTTCTCTCCCGAGCCAGTCTGTCTTATTATTTAATTATGTCATTTCAGTTAGGATTTCTGCTCGCCTACATCGCCCAGCCAAATCTCGCTGCTGCCAAGACCGACTATCATCGAACGGACTTCCATGGAGTTTGCCGACGCTCACCACCTCAATCGCCAGTGAAACGCCGCTGTTTTGAGGATAATCCACTGTAAGTTTTTATTTTTTTTGTTTATTTTCTCACCAGACATTTGCATTGAATGGTGAGGAGATTGTGCCTTAGTGTATACTTTTTTCTAAAGTCGTTTCTCACTAGACATTTATAGAGAATAATTTTCTTACTAGACACCGGCGAAACACGTTAGTGTATGCTTTTTTCTGATGTCGTTTCCCTTCTGTCGGCTCGCCTTCATCACCTCAACCGAACGTTGCCGCTGCCGAGACTGACCCTTCACCCAACAGACTTTGACCTAGTTTGCTGACATTCACCGTCTCAGTCGTCGACTTTCGCTATTGTTTTTAGGATAATCCACTGTAAGATTTTATTTTTTCATGTATTTTTTCACTAGACATTTGCAAGAGGATGTACCTTGGTGTATTCTTTTTGCTGATGATATTATTCATGTTGATACGACTAGAGAGGGAGTTGAAGTACAAGACCAAGTGAGGGGATTATGACTTTGGGCGAGCAAGTCGTTAATAAGAGTATATGTTTTAGATATATTGGATCTATTATTTATAGTGGTGCATAGTTGAGGATACTCAGGTGGATGAGTGGATTTACCGTTAGAGATAGGTTCCGAAATGAGCATATACATGATAAGGTTGGAGTAGCTTCATTGGAAGATAAGATTAGAGAGAGTCTCCTTAGATGATTTAGGCACATAAAATGATAATAATTATTGGAAGAACATAATTAAGCGATTGTGGTTAGAGGGAGAGTAGACAGACAATGAAAGTCGAAAGGATCGAAGTAAAGTTATCAATCTATGATGGATGGAGAATTATAAGCCCATAGAGGTTGAAGGATTGTATTTAAGATGAATTTTTGAAAACTTCATATCTCATGAAAAAGGTCTAACTTGATTTTGGAGAGATCACAAAGGTCTAAATATAACTTTGGGGCTTTAATTGATATTTGATGTTGACGACCAATGTCAACTATTGCCATCTCCTTACTTATATTATATAACATCCATTGCTCGACTTATGTCTGTATTCATGTAGCCGACCCCACGTAGTGGGACTAAGGCTTGATGTTGTTGTTGTTATTGTTGTTGGAAATATCTTTAGAAAATAGATAAAAAACACATTGAAATTTATATATTTCTCTTTAAAAGATTTTCAAATAATTTCTAATAGCTCCATATTATATGTAGGTTATGTTATGAATATTAGAAATAAAAAAAATTGGATGTATAATCGATTGGCGCAAGGACGAAAAACATTGATAGATAAATTCATTAATGGGGCGAACATTTTCATTTAGACAGAGAAACAACTACGCAGCTTCATATCAGATGAAATATTTTTATGTCCATATTCTAAACATAAAAATCAAATGCACCTAAGACCAGATAATGTAATTGTTGATATGTATCACAGAGGGTTCATGCCACAATATTGGTATTGAACTTCTCATGGTGAGTACGAGCCACATTTTAATTCTTGATGCAGTCCATCTACAAGTAGTAATATATCTAAGGATGAAAATATCCGATTAAATATTGAGGAATTAGTTCATGATGCAAATGAAACACAATCTATATAATGTACAGAAGAGTTACCAAATAAAGATGCACATAATTTTATGATTTATTGCATGATACCTAACAACCAATATGGAATGAGTGCACCACTCACTCAAAGTTATTTATTGATGTGAAGATGCTAAGCATCAAAATAGAATATAATATTGCTCATAAATGTTTTAATTAATTCGTTGGGCTGTTTAAGAAAACCAACTCAACAGATAATATATATCTTATAGATATATATCAGACAATGAAGTTAATTTACAAATTTGATTTAATATACACAAAGATAGATTATTATGTCAATGTATGCATGTTATATTTTAAAGATAATTTATCAGAGATTGTATGCCGTCATTATAATGCACCAATATTTAAATCAAAGGCTGGAATAAAAAGAAAGTTGAAGGAAGTACTTGTTAGTAGGACATTTTACTTATCAATAATTTCTAGACTACAACGGTTATAGGCATCTATGAGATCTGCTGCACATATGAGATGACATAATGATCACATTCTGCAATAAGATGTTATTACACATTCATCAGAAGTAGAGGCTTTGAGATACTTTGATTATACACATCCCACATTCGCGCCAGAACCAAGAAATAAAAGATTAGATTTATGTACAGATGATTTTACACCATTCAGTCAGTCTGCTTCACCTTACGCATGTTGGCCCGTGATACTCACCCTTTATAATCTTTCTCTAGAGTTATGTATGACTACTCCTTATATGTTTTTAACACTTATCATTTTAGGGCAACATAATCCAAAAGTAAAGATTGATGTATTCTTACAACCGTTAATTAATGGTTTAAGTTTATTATGAGAATAAGGAGTAAGTACATATGATATCTCCATCAAATAAAACTTCATAATGAGGGCATTATTACTTTGGATAATTTATGACTTTCCTACATATGATATGCTCTCTACTTGGAATACTTCCAGCAAGTTAGCTTATCCATTTTATATGGAACATATAAAATCATTCACTTTAAAGTATGAAAGAAAGAATACTTATTTCGATTGCCATCGCATATTTTTACATACAAGTCATCCTTTTAGGGGCAATAAGGATACATTTACTAAAAATAAAATGATGATGTTGCAACATCCTCCAAGATTAAATAGTGAAAAAATATTTAAAAGAGTAAGATTCATACCCATAATAATGGATTCTTCAATATTAGCTGAGTACAAATTGTCAGGATATGGTGTCAACTATAATTGGACCAAGAAAAGTATTTTTGGTCATTGCCATATTAGAGAACAAACCTGATTAGACATAATTTGGATGTCATGTATATATAAAAAAATATTTTTGATAATATTTTCAATACAGTTATGGACATT